GCAAAACAAATGATCAAACTGGCAGTCATTTTTGTTGGCCATTATTGTTTTCTAAAAGTTCAAATGATGCGCTGTTTACTGGTAATACAGACGTATTTTTAATTAAAGATTAAATACATATATAACTATAAATATACTGTTTACAAAACTCCGGGCATTTGGGCATTTGTTTTAGTCATCTTAGGAAAACACCTTGTGGCGGTTTAAAAATAGTCATCATGACTATAAGCTTTCGTGTAGCTAGTGGGACATGTTAATAATGCTTTCTTTTACAATAATAATGTATAAAGAAGAATACAATTACTTGAGATTTGTAAATGAATTTTCGTTTTGAATAAATTTTACACTATACATAAATATCTCACCCAGCTTTATTTGTAAGGACTGGTCGCATCAATGATCGATATCTAACACATTGAGACAGTTGAACCGTGTAAACTCGAACTGGTGTACGTACTTGCTAAACATTTGTCATAACTTAACACAACACTTAGTCCAGTACGAAAAATGACCAAATCAACAGCTGGCTGAGTACGTTGAAATAAAGTGGTTTATTTGAAATATACGGTCTCAAACCTAGCTATGTTTTTTCTTTGGCATAGTGTAATTACCCGACCCCATATTTTAAGAAGAGGAATTTGGAGGTAGATTTTACACAAGCTTTGAAAACTGTCGAGAAATGTAGATTCATTTACATCTTCGGCTATTAGATTATTTCCTAACTAAATATAATAGAATAGAATATGGTAAATGTAGTGTTATTATATTTTTGTTTTTTTAATTTTTATACCTTTACAACCCTACAAATACCGGCAGTAAAAGCAAATAGACAATCTTCAACCGCAGAAATAAAGATTCTATTTTTAGATAATATCTAATCTAGCTAATGGAAAATGTCCCACCTTTTAGCAGCGACATCTACTTGCCCGGAGATTGACAATTACATTAGCATGTATGCATCAAGATTATTATATATCACTGATTGCTGGTACTGAATTATGGTTTCAATAAAACGTGCCGCTAAAGTTGGGAAATTCTGTAATAATGGTATTTCTTATAACATTACTATGTAATATATTGATAAGGTAACAAGTTAAGTAATAGATGCACCTTTCGCTGATTGATCGAAAAAGTAAAAAAAAAAATTCTGAAGCTAATAAAAGCAGATAGATAATCATAATACATGGCTGTCTGTCATATACATCCGGGTACATATACGTATACATGTTCCAGGGCTGACTAATTATCTTGTCACGCATCATTTGAAACGAGTTCAATTAATATTAGCACATCATAAACATACTGACGGCGTATTGTAAATAATAATAATGAATCCCAGCAGTGCTCTAATGGATTTAAAGAAAATTCTGTGCTAGCTGTTCTGATTCCCCAACACAATATAACACCCCTAGGGGGTCCATTGTATTTAAATAATGAATTAGCTTTCAGTGAACCAAAGCTCACATTTCCACCAGGTTTGCAAGATTTTACTCTGTCAGTATGTTCATATGTGATACATCATTGAAGGAGTCTTCAAATAGTCTCAATTTACATCAGCTTACGTGCTCTCTATAAAAATTACAATCTCCTAAACCTAATAATTATTTAAGGAGGGCTTATTTCTCCCCTTTTGATTTAGTCAACATAGCTGCAGTGACGGAGAAAATAAAATTTTAATGATAAATTGCGTAATATATCTTGATATGTTAATATGCGGATATGAGTTATAATTACCAAATGTAAATCTGACCCGAATAAATCAGAATGTAAAATTTCACAGTTCTTTTAATTGCAACAAATATTTCTTCTATTATGTTTACACAATTCCTAGCGTGCTCGATAAATTTGAATAAATATTGGTTTAGTCAACGCCAGATAATATGATTTTGGCACAACGCCGACTTGAGAGAATGCGGAGTAGACCCCACTGAAAAAGCAAACGACGATGCTTAACTGAGGGTAGTGACCGTTCCGCTCTCTACAGGTATAAAATAAAATAAGGGCTAATATTCAAAAAAAAGGCGCCCAGACTATCAATTTTAGTGGTAGCCCAGCAGTTGGGTCGACGCTGTACCCCTGGACGCTCCTTACTATAACGTCATTCCAATGCACCGTACATGTGCCTATGGGACTGCTAGTCTCAGTTTACATGTAATATGTCGGCATCACAAAATTACGAATGTTTTTTTTATGCGAGAGAGACTTCATTTTATCTCACCTTCATCGCGGAAGGTTCCAGTTGAATATTTAACTTGAATGCATGAATGTCGAATTTTATTATTAAATATTTTATAGTTAATCAATTCTGATTGTGCACATTATGTGTAATCGTGCATTTTTTTTCTAATTAAAGCCCCCCCCCATATTAATGATGGTCTACTCCTTCCAAGTAACTAGATTCAAAGGACTGTTTAATACGATCATTACCCTAGCAGGCGTTGAGTAAATATTCGTACTACGTATGCAGATTATTCAGAGTCAAATTAGCTCTGCTGCTGAAAATCACCTGCAAAACATCTCTATACATGTATTATCACATCTACATCACATTTCAAATTTGAAATTTGTTTTCGTGTCCTACTATTGTTGGCACAATTAATTATATATATGGTGGTCCCTTGTTGTCATGGTAGTAACTATATTACCTACGAATAAAGTTGATACAAGAAAACTATACAGGAATTTTGATGTCATTTTCAGTTCACGAGTCGGAGAAAATAATATCAGCGACCATTTCACTGGAATTCATCATAAATTATCCGTGTAATGGTTTTCAAAAACAGTATTTCAAATGAAAAATGTGATGTTAGGTGTAGTCACAGTTCTTGGTCGTTCAAGTCACATTTACATATCCATGACTTCCTCATCCGGGTCTTCTGGCACAGTGCTGGCTTGCTTACTGATTTCGGGTGGGACGTTAATCTCATTCCAGTCTATGTCGTTTCCACACTGGTTGAAATCGACACGGTCGACATTTTCAACGAAATACATCATGTAAAAGTTGCACATTTCATCCTTCATGGTGGCACTGAACGGAAACAAATCAAAACAAGCGTCATTTACACATCTCTCTGTATCTCACCTATGAATAGTATATCTATGATTAAAGTGACTTATTATA